ACTGTGGCAAATTCTTAAAGAGATGGGGGTACCAGACCATCTTACCTGTCTCCTAAGAAATTTATATCTTGTTTCCATTTTCTATTGTGTCATCAACATTTAGCTAACATGCCTTTGGCTGTAACACTAAACCAAGCCTTGTTTAACAAAGATTGTGAATAGTTCAAGAAACCATGTTTGCAATAATCATGATTTGTTATAAAATGTGGATTGTTTTTGCTCTGTCAGTGTGTAGATGGCATCCAAATTCTGTTAACCACAGGCACTTCTTTGCATAAGCTAAGCTTCTTTTCTTAATCAAAACTAACTGCAGGGAACTCATCCAGCAGTAGAAATGAAAAAAAAAAATTAACTGGGGTGGGGATTAGTGGAACCATAAATAATCTATCTTCAGTATTAATCTTTTATTCTCTTCAGAGAATTTCAGAATTTTGCATTACATGGGTGCAACCATCAGGAAATCCTATTTAAAACACAATGCTTACTGAGATTATATAATGACATAGGATTTCCCCCCCCACCCCTTTCTCCTTGCAAAAACAACAGCAAAAGATATAGGCACTCTGGTATGGGAAGAACTCTAGATAAGGGAGGAGTTGTGTTGCTAAAGACTCATTGCCAGGAAGAATGCCAGAGATTGTTGTTTGAGGAAATTCAAGAGCGGTTTAAACCTGAGAAACTGGACAATGCAGAAGCAAGGAAAAAGTGATTTTGTTTCTAGGTTCAGTCAACAATGGGCTGAAGCAAATCGGGACCTGTCAACTAACATCAAGCAATGCTTTCAAGCTTGGATTTAGTATGGGTGCACACCCACAACCAATGGTTAAGCTAAGCAGATTGTGAGTTAGAATTACAGCACACTGATGCCTGCAAATACATCACTTCTGATACCATGTGTACATTCTATTCTAAGTACAGGCTTACCTCTGAGGACAGTTTTCTTCCCATGGTGCACTGGTTTTATTTCTTTGAGTTTCTGGGCTGGTTTCATTTCTTGACTTTTTAAAACTGGTAAGCATAAAAAAATAAATTCAATTTAGAACTATCAACTTTTGTAAATAAGTAAGCATAAATGTCACACCACAAGCTCAAACAATTATTTCTAGGAAATGTTCATGATGAAGTACTTTTTGGGGACTAAGTCACTGGAAAGGTTCAAGTGATACAGTATATTATCCGCTTTTCTATACTGTACATCAGTGAAAAAGAACACCCTATGCAATCTGTCTATTCTACATGTAAGTTTTTAATGCATTTAAGTCATTTCTGAAAACTCTGTCGTCGTATTCTTTCAGGATTTTGATGATGTGGGATAGACTGGGTGAGCAGATATTCTCTTCCACACAATAGGCTACATAAGTATAATCCAATCTAGACAACTCAGGCATCTTGCACTAAGTTGTGCATCCATAGACAGATAAGCAGAAACAGCAAAAAACTGACTGAAATAGCTTTATCCTCTCTGTAAGTATAAGTCTATTCATTCAGGCAATTCCCTCTTATCAAGCCAGGCTTCACTAGATTCTAGGTGCCTTTACCTAGCATCCTCCCCTCTAACCCAGCATGTGGGTGGAGAGAAATCCCACAGTCATCACTGAATCTCCCCAGGAAAAATACATAGGTGAAACTTAAAACAAAAGTTTCTGCACAAAACGCAAGATGACACTGACACTGACGACCTTGCTAATAATGAAGGAAAGTTCTATTGCCCAGAGTTTCCAAGTGATACAAAACTCACGCAAACATGGATGTCCATGGATGAATAAAAAGTATCAGATCAAAAATATCAGAGCTTTATAGATCACACCCAATACCTTGAACCACCTCCAGAAGCTTACTGGTAACCAGTGCAGCTCACACAGCAGAGCTGTTACATCAGTATACTCAGATGTACCCATAACTGCCTGTGGTACTACATTCTGGACCAGCTGCAGCTTCCAAGTGGTTATCAAGGGCACCTCCATGTAGAGTACATTGCAATAGTTCACAAATGAAGTGACTAAGGTATGTGACTGTGAGAAGGGATACTTGGTTAGGAAATGACACAAATGGCACTCCATATGAATCTAGGCAAAGATCTTTTGGCCACAGCTGTCACCTGCCTTTGAACAGGAGCTGAGTCCAGGTGGACCCCAAATCTCTTCATGTAGATGTTAAACAGGAGGGGTGAGAGCACTGAGCTCTGTGACTTTTCACAAGTTAGACCCAGGCTGGATCTCCCTCTCCCTCTCAATACCAATGGAACCAACTGCAGAAAAAGAACTATCACAACACTGTGTTTCTTATGCTAATCCCCACAAGGAGTCCAGAAGGATAACCATGATCAATGGTCCTGAAGGTTGCTGAGAGAACCAAGACAGTCACACCACCATTGTTCTGGCTCTCCAGATGTCATTGACAAGTGCAATCAATGCCGGCTCCATACTGTGTCCCGGTCTGAAACCCAACTGAAAAAGGTCCTGATAATCCACTTCCTCCAGGGACTCTGGAGATGCAGTCAGACCACTTTCTCAATAACCTTCATTAAAAAGGGAAGAAGGTTGGAGATTGGACAAAAAACATCCAGCACTGTTTGGTCTAGTCACTGCTTTTTGAAGAGAGGGCATGCCACCCCCTCCTTCAAGGCAGAGAGAACCACCTGTACTCTTTCTCCATCATACCTTGACTTGGACCTATTCTATTTTCTAACTATTTTTTTCCTAAACTGAATGGAGGTTTTTCTACTTCTGATATAATTTTGCCAGGCACCCTCCCTGAAATCAAACATAAATTCTCTCATTCTTGCTCTTATATCATTCCAGAATATTATATATCATGCTGAAAGCCCCAAATGATCTTCAGCCAAACCCAATTCCCAAAGAATTATTTACTTAGAGAAATAACTGTGAAATTCTATGGTTGCATTTAGAAATGTGATTTGTGACTTCATTATAAAGTATATACAAAGATTGCCAACTGTTTTACAAATTAGCGACCCTAGGAATTGACATAGTAAATGAAAAAAAACAACCCTTCATCCCATTTCTTCTGCATTAATTCTGTGACTATACCATAACTCTTATTTTGCTGATTATAATTAAGATAATTATTTTAGTTTTATTCACAAGCATCCAGTATGTCTATTAAAAAAACCCACAGATTTTCTAAATCCAAACAAAATCTATATGCTAAGCCTAACATCTAGTTCTTTCTTGTTAAAAAGAGATCAACAGGTCATAATTTTTTTTCTTTAGTTTCCCAGGTGCTGATGATATCAAGGTTTTTCACTTCTTTTATCATTACCTTTTAATTGGTGATGGAGCAATAATTTTGGTTCCTTCAATTTCCCCAGTTTCTCTGTATGTAATAACCTGGTTTGTACAATGTGATCCTGAAATGAAAGAAAATATCTACTGTTAGAAATTGTTAGCATTCTCTTGCACTTTGGGGTATATCTTTTCTGTATATTTTTATTTAATGTCTTTATCTCTGAAGACCACAACTGTTACTTGTTTGTTATGCAATGATCTCAAAATAGCCAGCACAATGGTTTCTCAATTAAAACCTAAAATATTGATATTTCAAAAATACCAGCAAAGATAGCTTTTTCTCTGCTATTATATAATACTTCAATAGAAAAAAAACTAAAATAGTCAGTATTCTTATACAACATAATCTTTTCCATTCCTCAAATAAGAAACAATCCTTCCAACAGGAAAGTAGCATCTATAAACCAAACACTTCAGCATTATAACAATAGGAGAAAGATGACATGATAACTGAATATGTAAAGATTTGAAGTAGATTTTAAAAAGTATCCGAACACATAATTGTAAACACCATGTAGAAGGTTTTTATGTGCATAATGTTCCACACTCCTTAAAGCTTAGCACATGGTAATGTTCTGGAGCTTGTGCTCCAGAATTATTGTGCTGAAATAATTCACAACACAGCTACGCTGTATAACAAGCAGCAGCAAGCTGTATTTAGCAGAGTTGCTAATATAGCACTAAAACATCCTTCTATTGTCAGAATGAATCTCCCAGGTAAGTTCCCACTATAGCTCAAGATATTTAGAAGGTATCAGGTTGCCTACATTTCTGGGTCATTAAGAAAAGGACTTCACTTGATATAGTTTTAAAAAGTCATTTAGTAAAAAGCCAGAGTCATTTCAATGAGGCACGTGTACGAAAAAGGTGTACATAAATTTCCAGAAATTAGGTAGAAAGTAGGATAAGGATAAGGATAAGACATTTGGTAGGTAAGTGTCCAAACTGATTAATTACTAAAACCCCCACAGATACTAAAACCAGTATCAGATGGAGTGGCAACAGAAATAGAGTTCAGTGGAGTTGGGCAGCCAATAAATTTCAATAAATAAATAATAATAATCAAGGAAGGTATTAATACACAGAGTCCAAGATTTGCAGAAGTATGTAAATCTCCAAAACTATCAAATAAAAAACAAAACAATCCTAAAAGTAGAAATCAAGGCAGTCCAAAGCCAGAAAGTGGCTATTTTTAATGCATCACCTAAGCCATAGTTTATTTAATTGCCTGTGTTTGTACAAAATGCTAAGCTACAATGAAACAATTTGGCTTAGCCCAATATGAAAACCCAAGCTTGATTATTGGTTGGAAAAGAAAACTGCGCTAAGAGGTTTTGTGATGGAGGAAAATGTAATGCTTATATGTATTGATTAGCTACAGCTCTATAGAGGGGCACCCTGGCACAAACAGCATACACAAACTTGTGTAAGTTCTATTTGTTTTCTTAAAACTTAATTTAAAAAAAAAATTAACTTTGCTTAATAAAGAAAGTACTTAGCCCCACCAACCCAGCTACTCACATTATGCTCAAACAGTGATTGACCTAACTTTAGAACAGCCAACTAGCTGGCCAGATCACTTGAGAGATTCTTTATTCTTTTCCTCCTTTTGGTGTTGACAAAATTCAGCCATTTTGCTGTTACATTACTCTGCATTAGCCCATGTCACCAGGTGCCCACTTTGATAGTAAAAAGGTTAAACATTATGTATAAATGGTCATCATTTAAAAATACAGTATTACCAGCTATAGGAATATACCTACTATCATACAAATGAAAAAAGAAGCTGCACCTAAATAACGGCTGCTGTTGTATTATCATCCAAAAAGCAAAATACAAATTAGGTGCTTTTCATTTTTTTTTTTTTTTACCGAAAGGAAGTCAAATTAAAGGGTTTTAAAATTAGAAACCTATTCAATCTGGAAAAGTACAGGTAGTCCTTGGTTAACAACCATTTGTTCAGTGACCATTCAAAGTTATGACAGTGCTGAATGAGTGGTACTTATGACTGAGTTCTGGCCACCCCAATACCCCCGCAGTCACATGATTGCGATCCAGGTGCTTGGCAACCAGCTTGCACTTAGGACAGTTGCAGCATCCCATGGTCATGTGATCGCCATTTGTGACTTTCCATACCAGAAGCATCCCACTCCTGCTTTTTCTCCCAACGAGCCTGGCTACAGCCCCCAGGATATCGTACTCTGTAGCACACAGCTGCCCAAAGCACTCCCCCCCGCACTCTGTAGCGCACACCCGCCTGGCCATGCTTCTGTGGTGCTGTGACAGCCACCAGCACACCCTCCCACATCTGGCAGCAGTCACCCCCTACCCAACCACACTGTGCCACAGCAGCAAGTTATCTGCCCGCCAGCCTACTTGCAAGCCACCCTAAGACTTGCAACTTCCTGCTGGCTTCCCCACTGACTTTGCTTGTGGGAGGCTGGCAGGAAGCTGTAAAAAGGTCCTTGCTTAATGACTCGCTACCCTTGCTTAACAATGGCAACGGGGACAGCCAGGATTGCTGTCACTAAGCAATGTGATCACATGATGTCGTGCTTTACAACCTAATCCCTTAGCGATGGAAATTGTGGTCTGAATTACTGTTGTTAAGCGAGAACTACCTGTAGTGCCATTTCAAGAGCCTGATTACAAATACAAAATTGCAGCATATAGGTTTTGTGAAATGGAGTTGGGTTCTATGCTTCAGTAAATATCACACCTTCAGAAACCAGAACCTTCTGGAATTCATTCATTCATTCATTTTATGCCATTACTATAATGTGATGTGGAAAAGAGAGTCACTTATGGACCAAAGCAATAAGCTGAAAAAAGTTATCTC